GTCCATTTCTACCTGCCAGTATCCAGACTTCAAATCCAAAGTAGAAAATAATTTACTTCCAGCCAATGTGTCTAATGTGTCATCGATCCGAGGCAGAGGATAACTATCTTTCTTGGTAACGTTGTTCAGCAAACGGTAATCCACACAGAACCTCGTTGTTCCGTCTTTCTTCTTAACCAGGACCACCGGAGAGACCCATGGGCTCGTAGAAGGTTCTATCACCCCGTCTTTCTTCATTTCCTGAACAATCGTTTCAGCTTCCTCTCTTTTCGCCTGTGGTAATCGTCGAGCTGTTTGACGAATTGGCTTAGCATTACCAGTATCAATTTTATGCTTAACAACGGTAGTTCTTCCCGTCTTTCCTCCTTTCGGTACGAAAATATCACGATACTGCCGAAGAAATTCCCTTAATTTCCTTTTCTCAATCTGATTCAGAGACTGTCCAGCAACCGCAACCATTTGATCAAATTTATCGTTGGAATTATCAGACGTTGTCGTCTGACGGATTATGGATGTAACAGGTACACAAGTTCCTACTTTTGTCTCTTTCTTGATGGTCACTGGGTAGTCATTGACATTAATAAGTCTTACAGGAATTTCTTTAGCCGAAGTCACTAATTCTTTTCCAATTATGATTCCACGGCCAACTTCGTCGTCGTGATTCCAGGGCTCCATCATAACAGGTGTTCCTTCGTCCACAATTCCCTGTAGCCGCGCTACTATTATCGTTTCACTTCTCGCAGGCACGACTGTATCTTCTTTAACGGCTGCTTGCATAGTGTTGTCATCATGTGGATGGAGGAATACCTCCTCGTTACCAACTTTGATTACCTTATTCTTAAAATCCAATTGGAATCCATGCGTATTCATTACGTCCATTCCTAATATAACATCCTCTTCGATGTCAGCAACTATAACAGTATGGACGAACTTTTCTGCTCCAATTCCTAATTGTACCTGGATTTCTCCATGAATGTTGGCATTTTCCCCTGTGGCGGTCCGAAGTCGCAACCTCGTTGGTAACAGTTTCTTTCGGCTGTTTATAACTGTCGGGCGTATAATGGTTCTGGTCGCTCCAGTATCCACCAACAACGTATGCTTTTTACCATTTATTTCTCCATCTACATATACACTATCTTCACGACATTTCAAAGAAGCTATTAGTATCAGAGGGTCTTTGGTAAAGTTCTGGGTCGAAGCTGCTCCCCTAAGGCCGACGCGTTCTGGTTTTGTCTTCGGTCTTATGGTCTTCGTTTTCTTGTGTGTCATGCTTTTTATCATATTAAAGAGCTGGTCAAGTTTATCTTCATCTCCTTCCTCTTTTACAGTCCTAACTTTGCTATACCCGCCAGAGGCCTGCGTAGCTGACTCGTATTCGAGAGCGGCGGATAAGACATCAACCAGCGTCTTGTGACGAGCTAATCGTAGTGTTCTTTGCATCTCATGATCACGAAGACCATCAATAAACGTTTGAACGGCCAACTTTTCCATCATGTCTTCGGGAGCTGTTGGATAAGCATATCGCACTAATCTGGCGATATCTACTTCATATTCTTGAAGAGCCTCATCTTTCTTTTGTCTTCGATTTTTGAGCTGCGACTGATATACATGCTCCAAGTGTTCATGGCCATATCGCATATTTAACCTCTTCTTCAGTTGTTCGAAATCATCTGTCTCCTCTACGGCTATGGTCTGGAGCACATCTAAGGCATCTCCTCGAAGGGCGATAGTCAGGTTTACAGCCTTTTCTTTTTCAGACCATCCATTCGCTCTTGCAGCTGATTCGAACTGTTTCATGTAGTTGTTCCATGATGATTTTCCGTCGAAAGTTGGGACTTTGACATGAACGGAACTTCCACTTCCTTCACATTTCGGCCGTGTTTCCAACTTACATTTCGTCTCGTCTTCTTTTGTCTCTATGGTAATTGGATTGTTTACTCTCTCTGTTGTTCCTGTTCCCTCAATCTTCCTTTCCAACTCTTTCCATATCTTCTCTTCGAAGGCCATCATATCGGCAGCAACTTGGTTTTTTAATGAAGACACTCTATCGTCGAGAGCAGACATCTCCGAAGTGACTTTAGAGATTTCCAAGGAGATGTTAGCAGAGACTTTGCTTTCTAGAGAAGAAATCTCGTTAGACACTTTGTCTTCTAAAGAGGCGATATCGCCGCAAACTTTGGCTACATCAGAGGAAACTTTCGAAATATCGCCATGAACTCTGTTCTCTAATGATGCGATGTCACCAGAAACTTTATTCTCTAATTTTGAAATTGACGCGATGACAGCATCTTCAAATATATAAGTTTCCGGATCTAAACCCTCTTCCTCCAAAGCATTCTTTAGTCGTTGGACTAACTCAGCCTTTTTTCCGGTAGAAGCTAATTCTCTATCCTCAAGATGCCTTCTTAGATTCGTAACTGTGAGCTCGTAAATCGTAGCCATCGTTCACCAATTTCACTTCTTTTCAAAAATTCAAATTAAATTTATCTACAACCCCACTTCTGCACCACTGTGATATATTTATATAGTTCGAATTTATTTGTCTTTATTCTAATTTATTGTCTATAATCTAATTTATTAAAACTCACGATAGCTAATTACTAATTTATTAAATAACTTTACAAATGTATGTATTTCACGTTTCGTACAAGTAAACCGCGTTTACCGATCTTCTTATGACTAACTCCTCAATGAAATTCTTCCGGTATTTATATGAAACCAGCTTGTAACAGAATGTTTGTAGAAAATACGATGCCGTTCTCGATCTCGACGTAGACACGGCGGCGACTGGTCTCAAAACATGTTCCTTTATCGGCTTGTCGCCCCCAGAACATTCGATTGTTGTTTGTCAGGTAGATTTTTTTGACCTAGAAATTACGAGAATCAATACAAAAGAATTAGTCATAAAATATTTACAGTTCTATACGCCATAACATTTAAAATCGTAACAGTATCGTCTATTCTAGGCAAAGGATAACTATCTTTCTTAGTTACCGCATTGAGCTGGCGCTAGTCAATGTAAAAACTCATCAAACCATCTTTCTTCTTTAGTAGAACTACTGGTGATGTTCATGGACTGTTTGATGGTTCAATTACTCCTTGTTTGTTCATATCTTTTGATGATCTCTTCGGATTCATCTCTTTTTGCAAATGTAAGTCGTCTTGGTTGTTATTTCGAATATCTCCGGTATTAATTGTATGCGTTGCTATGCTTATTTTACCCTTATCCTTCTTCAAAAGGAATGGTCAATTATCCATCAATGTCAAAAACATCTTGAAATTCTATCAGCATAGACTTCACTTTTTCCGTTCGTTCATCATCAAGATCTTAACATGTTTTAATCACCATCTCAATAAGCTTCTTTAGATACTTATATTTCGATGATTTCGACAGCCCCAACTTTTCTTAGTAAATCCATCCCCAATACGAATGTTGGAGATCTCTGCAATTAGTACTCTGTGTTTCACTATGGTGTGGCCAATGGATACTGACATATTAGCCTCGCCATATGTAATAATTATCTCACCAGTTGCTGTTCTAAGCCTTACTGTTGCAGGCGATAATTTAAGATGATCTCATACTACTTCTTGACGTGCAATAGTTCTTGTTGCACCTGTATCTACTAAAAATGATCTACATTTATTATCGATACGACCCTCGATGTACAAGCCATGAATTCCATAGGAGGTCGTAATGTTAATAGTTACTATGGGGGCTTTGAAGTTTGACTAGCTGTTTCGTGTCCTAAGGCAATAGCGAGCGCTTCATCTAAAACTTTCGGTCTCGCTAGTCGTAAAGCTTTCTGTAGCTCACTGTCTTTCAACATATTGACGAAGGTATCTAGAGCAATTTCTTCCAAAATGTTGTCTGGTGCCTCTGGACAAGCCAATCGCACTATACAAGCAACATTTGCTTCAAACTCTTGCAAATTTTCACTTGCAGTCAAGAACACAACCTTTTCTTGTTCTGTATAATGATTGCTGGTCACAATTGTTTCAAATTGTCTAAGGTATATGGACCAAGAAGACTTCTTATGAAATGGTGTCAATTTGAACCTCATATTATGATGTGTCGTTTCGTCTATCGGTGATTCTTCTTTCAGTACAGGATCTAATACTACTTCATTAACTGTTGATAGCACTTTTGTATTGGTTATCATGCTCTCTTATTGTTTGATCTTCTCTTCTACATCGTTTATATTTTTCTGGATTTTATCGAATGTTCTAGATCAAATGTTCTTCAAATTCCTCATTGTTCTGTCTACATACTTCTTTAATTATTTGAGAAGTCTCGTCGAATCTTCGAGAAACGTTTTTGAATTTATCGTGGCTTTGTCTAGCTGCTTCTTTAATAATTTGAGAATTTTTTTCAATTTTCGTTAAAACTGCTTCTACTGAGAAGTTTTTATAACAGATTGGGGTACTGTTCAGTCGTAGAAGGTCAAATATTTAAATCATTTCTGTAGGACATAAAGAAATATTTCTTATTTTATTAGGAATTATAATATATTTTTTGCTTTATCTTTTTAAAGAATTCCTCACGTTATTAAAAACCAATACAAATGCACCGCTTTATAAAGGTCAGTATATTTTTATCGAGTTTATGTACTCTAAGAAATGAACCGGGTATACGTAATGAAAACAAACATCCAATTCGAATGACGGAGGTGTATCCCGTGCGTTGTTATGTGCTACTAAATGATTTTCTGTCGTGGTGTCGGAGGAGATCGGGAATTACAATTACCTCGTACGAGGCCATGTTGCCGATTTTAGCGCTTTATGTAGTTCAATATCCAAAACTTAACATATCAATATACTACATATATATCGTCAAACAATTTAAAACTTCTACCCTTTCGCTATAAATCTCTGCCCCATTGGTAATGACCTTGTATCTGTATATATATTTTACCTGCAATTACTTGATAAGGGAATGATGCATTCATTATTATTGCAATATTTGACTATTTCTGTAATAACATGTTATTTTAAATTTTTAGGTATTTTTTAGATGTATTACTTTTGTTTTAAATGCTTATATAATAAGGACAGTTGGCCAGGAAATCCTGGGCATTATGAATGTGAGACTGCTTCTCCTAGAATCTACTATTCTATTTCTATCAAAAGAGCCAATTTTAAAAGCCTGTTTAACTAATACAAGTTCAAGAAATTGGGCGCAGGTTATCAATCAAATTTGGCTATCGTAAGTTATATTTTATTTATTTTTGTATACGTCTGCGTCTGGCACAATTGGTGTTTGTTTTTAGAGTTCCAATATCTATTGTTATTAACATACTGTTGGTGTACGTGTGGATATATGTATTAACACCTATAGAAGACAAATATCTACATCAATATATACTCGGTTGCTATGCTGTCGCATTGTCTTGTATAGTTGAGCAAATGTCACAGGTGGTAGTTCTTGTCTCCCAGAACTTCTGTTTTGTCAGACTAAAGGTAAGCATAGTTTCTGTATATAGTTGTTGCTTTATATTTTACTCTTATGTAAATATGCTCCAGTTTTATAATAATTAACAACATTAACTAAAATATGGTTATTTAGAATCCATAAAACGATTCAGTATTTTGTAGAGGCAGCAATGTAAGTATCAAATTATTTTTGTGCCATCTTATTTTTCAGATCACTTGGCATTCTATTAGTGTTTGTATTTTGAAATTATTTCAGAGATATGCTTTTTCTATAATCCGTAAATTTATTGTATTGGCATTCTACAAACTTATAATAATTTCACGCAAAGAAGACAATTTGGTAAAATAACTTCCTCACTCTATAAACGTAATAATATATACATTTAGTCGGCAAGCACTTTGATCAGAATTTATGTAAAAAATTATATACTCTGATTAATTTTAATAATAATCTCCAATTACACTCTCACGTAGGTTTCATTCGATTCCACAGGAAAACTTCGTAAATGGTACGAATAAAAGTCCACTAATCTGAAAACCCCCTCTAACTTATATATATTGGCGTGAATGACTATAGCACAATGGTAGATAATTTAGCGCAAGTATAAGAGACTTAATTTACTAAAGCCTTAACAAACAATAAAAATTTTCTCAAAGACACCTGTATCCTATAGAGAACTAATAGATCACGTACGAGAGGAAAACATCGATCACCATACATATTAACCAAAGGAAGAGATATCAACAGAGCAGTTATTCGAGACCTACAGCATACACATTTTCGATAGCTGAAATAAAAGCGGACATAAAAACGAAAAAAGGGTCAGACACAGATTGAGCATATTTTTTGTGAACCTCGAACCTCAAAGGAACAACACAGAAATATTTTAACTACAATATAAACAGTATTGTAAAATAAGGGTAGAACCACCGAGAATTAAAAGAAATATACCACAATGTATAAGATATCAAGAATATAGTCACACTAGAATGCACTGTGAAAAACCATATAATTTCGTAAAATGCCCTGGATCGCACAACAAAAAGGACTGCAAGAAATCAGAAAACACATCAGCAACTTGCATTCACTGCAACGGAGATCATTCTTCTAATTATAGAAGATGTTCTGTTGATAATGAACTACTTAATATCAGCTACAATGACAAATCAAAACAAATCACCACTCAAAATCCTGTCAACAGCCCCAGTGTAAATATACCTACATCGTGCTCATAATTTTAACAGAATCAGTTATAGAGATGCAACCATTGGAAACATAAATGCAGATAACAAAAAAGCAACAATGAATTAGCAGATAAACTATCAAATTTCCTAAACGAATTCAAAAATATGTTGTCTTAAACTACACTCGCGTGCAAAAAAATCAACTCAAAATTATTTTGCGAAAGTACGTCTCCTGTTTCAATCAAAAAAGATGTAAATTTCAAAATATTTAGTATACAATTATGAACCTCATTATTGAGTTTGAAAAAAGTTTTGATTTTTGGTAAATCGGGTGACGTATTACAAATAAATAATGCAACACGTAGAGAGGGGGTCATAATTTGACCCATTTAAGTCGACACGCACCCACTTGACACATTTGGTTAACATCTTAAGCATCAATTTCCATAGCAACCCACTAATACATCAGTCAATTAAGTTCGCAACTTCATAACAAATGGATACCACATCTGTCAAAGCAACTCAAGCAGTAGCATTATTGAGAGAAGACCTGAGCCAGAGAGCCGTGGCAAATCGACTAAATTTAAGCCAATCTGCTGTGTCCCGAGTGTATCGTCGGTACCAAGATACTGGTGATTATGTCCGCCGACAAGGAGGAGGTCGTAAACGAATAACAACAGAGAGAAATGATCGATTTCTTGTATCTAAATCTCTGAGAAATCGACATTTGACTGGTATTATCTATCTATCTATTGATCTCAAAAAAGAGCTTAGAGAGGTCCGAGGTGTGGTTACCAGCGTTTGGACAGTCAGAAGGAGACTGAAAGCAGCCAACCTGACACCAAAAAGGGCAGCTACTGGTCCCAAGCTAACTGAGCCCATAAGCAAAGACGACTAGAATGTGCTCCGAAGAAAGTAGGATCTGCCTACATGGCAGCAACAAGAGGCGTCAAGAAGGCCAGGGGAACGATTTGCTCAATGTTGTATACGAGAAATTGTGTCATAAGGAGGCGGTTCTTTTATGTTTTGGGCAGCAATTTCCATGGATGGGAAAACCGAGTTGGTTTTCGTGCCTGGTGAAGGACGTAGAGGAGGTTTAACGGCGGATCGTTGAGATATTTTGGAAGAATATGTGGTTCCATACGCGGGATTTATTGGTAATGCCTTTATTTTATTGCATGATAATGCACGATGTCATACCGCACGAGTCACCACCACCTATCTGACTGAGATCGGTATCCCTACAATAAATTGGCCTGCGTTGAGCCCGGACATAAATCCAATAGAGCATATTTGGGATGAGCTTAAACGAAGGGTCCGGAGCAGAAAGCATGCACCAAGGAGCATAATGGAATTGAGAGCTGCGCTTAATGATGAATGGGAAGCAATGCCTCAAGAATTTATTAGAAAAGTCATCCGATCCTTTCGAAATCGATTGGAAAGTGTAATTAGGAATAGGGGTGGTAAAAAAAGGAAAAAATCCAAGCAGCAATCATTAAACTCAACACAAACACCTCGCTCAGTGTAGCATTAATCTATAGCTTACCTAGACATCCCATTTCAAGCGAAAAGTATCATGATTTCATACAAACTCTTGAATCCAAATTCATTGTTGCAGGAGACTAGAATGCCAAACACACCACATGGGGTTCCAGATTAATCACGCCTAAAGGTCGAGCATTAATGAACACCATTCAACAATATTAATAATATCGTATAGCATTTTTGCCGGTGAGATTCTTTCGAATAGGTTCCGGCACCAATTGCATCTTTAACCCTGTTTCAGGTAGCTAGTGTCGACGAATACTAGCCCAGGGGGACGACGGCTTAATGTACCCTCCGAAGCACGGTGAACGGCTCATATCATTTTTAGAAATAAAATTGTCGTTGTTGGGGCCGAGATTCGAACTCGTGCACTCAGTCTTAGAAAGCCAGTATCTTGAAGCTGAGTTACGGCTGTCCACCATTCAACAAAATAACGATAAGATATTTATGAACTGGAGACCCAACATACTGGCCCATGTACCCAAACAAAATCCCAGATTTGGTAGATTTTACTGTAACAAAAGGGATAGCTGACATCCATAGTGCAAAAGAGTTAAACTTCGATTTAACATCAGACCACAGTACAATAATAATAATAACTTTAAACACCAACACTAACACACCCAACAAGTGGGATCTTTTCCAAAATTCTGCAAATACAAAGATTAAACTAGATATTAGGATAAAACAAAACCAAGATGTAGAGAAAGCAGTAGACTATTTAACAACAGTTTTAGAAACAAAAGGATGGGAAACAACACCACAGCGTCAAAGAAGTGTGCAAGAAAACCATAATATTTCCCTCTATATAAGAGAACTTGTAGCAGAGAAAAAGAATAGCTCAACGCATATGGCAACAAACATAAAATCTAGCAAGTTGTTCCCATAAACAAAATTATACCACAACAAGAATTTGAGTCGTGAACACTCTACCATCCAACAATGCTACAGAATAGAAAATATACTTAAACAACTCTCGAAGAGAAAAAGTTTTGCGCTGGAGTGTTTCTCAATATACAACAGGCATTTGATAGAGTATGGCATAAAGGTCTCCTGTACAAACTGAATTTACACCTAACAGAGCAACTATACATGTATTATATTTATATGTATATATGTATTCTAAAATCACATCTTACTTCCATAAGTTAAAATTAAAGACAGTTACTCAAATTATCACATCATACAATCTGACGTACATCAGGGTAGTGTATATATATTTTCAGTTGTGAATTGAGTGCATATGGCGCAGTTGCATAAGAAACGGCAAGAAAAAAATATTTCAGACCACGGCTTACAATCCCAGAAAACACTATACCATAAAGGTTTTTGACGAATTTTGTCACTTACTGTAGTAATGCCTTAATATTCTAGTATTTTATTTAATAATTAAGAAATGTCAGTAACTTCTCTATTTCCATGTAATACATATTTTTCTTTTAGGTCATATTGGATACACTTTATGTAGTTAGTCGCACAATCATATTTGTTTATTATGTAGAAACAGATCCAGATTATCCTTTAAACGCTTTTTCACTCGCTCAGATTATTTCTGGCGTGATTTTATGCCTTGCTTACTACTGTTTCTTTATTTGGTACATTCCAGCTTTAAATAAAGCCAAGGAAAGAAAACAACAAGAAAGTAAAGATAAAAATGACAGTAAAGAGGCTAAAACTATATTTTCTGATATGGCAGATTTTCCATTCACATCCTTTTGGCAGCTATTTCCAGGAATTATGGATAATACGGTAATTTTAGCATATATTTTTTAAACTTTTCTCGAATATGTTATGGGAATTGTTGGATAGGTGGGATAAGAAATATCTGATTAGTACTTAAGTTTCATATTAACTACTATTTTTTTGGGGATAAATGTATTTTTAAAACGATTTCCGAGTTGGAAAACGAAATGTCAAATATAAAGTAGTTTAAATTATAATTGTTGTTGGTTTTCGAAAAATATAGTAGTTTGAATAAAAATGCCACAAAAACATTTTCAAAACCATCTTAAGTTTCATATTTTGCAGCACTTAACATTTACAGATTTCAGCCACCATAATTGAATTTTTCAGAGTGCGATCAAATGTAAATATTCCTATTCTATAGATACCAAAATAATAAAGATATCTTGATCTCGAATCCTGAGAAAACTAACAAATATTTTTGAAAAATTTAAACGCAGAATGAAAGATTACATTATTACCGAGGACCGAAAGTCCCTTAGAATAAACAAAAAGCTTTTTTCAATGAGATATTTAAAATTAAAAATCACACTAAATTTTCTCTTTTTTTTCACCCCTGTAACTTATTTAAATAAACATTATAGAAGTTTTCAGGGACTTTCGGCCCTCAGTAATAATGTATTCTTTCATTCTGCGTTTAAATTTTTCAAAAATATTTATTAGTTTTCTCAGGATTCGAAAAAAATGAATGCATTAAAAAAGCATTGGCCCGACATTTTGCGCCTACGCTCTAAGTTCCCAATTTTTAGGAGAAAGAATAGGAATTAGTGGTCCTATTAGTAATCCTCTGAATTTTTCCTATAACGTTTAAAACAGAATTACTAACAATAAATTTTTGTACCTGAGGTAACACTTTAATTCAAATTTAGATAATTATTACCTCTGACTTGTATTTGTGACTCAGCAATTCTTCGTGATGGGTAATTATCATGTCGTCGTATTTCTAATAATACTAGCCATTTCCTGCAAATTTTGTTAGGACTCTAATACATCTAGGAATTTTGCCTTAAAAAGCCGTTTTTCTCAATTTATAACATCTATAATTTAATTTTTTTTATGTCTGTACGATATTTTGGTATCGTTTCGCTTCTTCAATGTCTAGCACACACAACTTATGTTATTGGTTCACAGTCCCAATAACAATTACCTTAATCTATTTGAGAATGATTTTGCCGACATTGTGTGACAGTTGACTTTTTTTCGAAAAATTGGTTAATATTAGACACATCTAGTGCTAATTTCAACATATCATCCACAGCATCATTTCTAGTTTCAAACCCTAATTTTACATGATCCACTTCATATCTTGAATTAAACTTCTGAGCATTAAATTCTCGTAGTATGACTCTTTTTCTGTTAGAATATCTCTAATTGAATATTGAAAGCATTTCTTTCAATCTCATCCAGCCCAACTTGAGGGGCATATACTGATCAATGAGGTGGTGAATGATCCATGGGGCAGGCCATATAAGGTGGTTATGACTCACCATTCAATGCCTATAGCCCTCAGATTCTGGAGAAGATCGTTACTATGCTATTCCCTCAACAAAACTTTTATCATCCAATCGAGGAGTGTGAGGCTTAAGAAATCCCGCCGATCACGGAAAATCAACTGATGGAGACGCCTAATAGAGTAGCAAGCTCCGGGCTTAGATGGAATCCCAAACGTCGCTTATAAGCAGTCGTGAAATACTCATCGGCAATATTCCTGGAGGTTTACAATACATACCTCAAGGGGGTACTTTCCTGTACATATGGAAGCAACAAAGATTTATGTTTCCCCCAAAAAGAAAGAAACCACCAGAAAAAAACATCATCTTATCGTTCGCTCTGTATGCTGGATACAGCTGGCAAGATATTAGATCGGATAATCCATTAAAGAATCGAAGCAGCAGTTGAACCACTGATTAACAGCAATCAGTATAGTTTTCGAAAAAAACACAACACCAGATGCGATTGATCTTGTCGTTAACACAGCTAAGGAGGCGATCGCAGGGACTAGATGGAACAGGGGTAGGCAGAAGTATTGTCTGGTGGCCACATTGGACCATCAAAAATGCTTTCAATTTCGTCAGGTGGAATTGCATTATGCGAGCTTTATCCGAAATGAGGGTACCGGCATATCTAAGGAGGATAGTGACTATAGTAAAATTCATTAAGCGATGCAGGGAGATGTAAACATTAAATCGTGTCCGAACCTGCATGAGCTGCCGACAATGTCGGCATTACGAAATAAAGATGGAAATTTCGGTTAGTTTTTATATATTCTTGAAGAACTGTTACTTGCATGTATGCATAAAATTTTGACATCATCTTCTAGAGAAGAATCTATCAGTGGATGAACACAGATAATTTAAAACTAGGGAAGCACAAAATGGAGGCAGTGCTTATTACTAGTCGTAAACACTGAGCAACAAACCGTAACACTGAGCATTAGAGAACATGAAATCACATCAAAACCATTCCTTCGGTACTTGGGAGTGCTGACTGATGGCATACTCAGCGTCAAGCAGCAAGTATAACATGCCAGTGATAAAGCGCCAGTAGTAAGATCAGCTTTCTTTCGGCTTATGCAGAATGTAGGTGGTCCAAAACAAAGCAGGAGGTTGTTATTGTCGTCAGTAGCAGTAGTAATATACGGAGTATAGTAGTAATATACGGAGTATCGATTTGGGCTAATACCCTCGGAACCCAAGAATCACGGAGAAAGGTCGCATCAGTATATCCTCTAAGCGCTTTAAGAGTTGCCAGCGCCTTACGCATAGTATCTGAGGATGCAATATACGTCATAGCCGGGATGCTACCAGTTGTAGTGCTAGCTGAAGAAATGGACACTCTTTATCGTCAAAGGGAATGAACTACACTTAAATCGTGCCTAGATGAACTTAGAACAGAATGGCAGAACAGCATTGATTGATGGCAATTACAGTGAGATTCCGCAACAACGGGCAGGTGGAAGCATTATCTTATGCCACAAATACTTTTAGCTTTATATATATATATATATATATATATATATATATATATATATATATATATATATATATATATATATATATATATATATATATTATTTTTTCCAAACGAAAAAGTTGGACAAATGTTAGCTGTTATTTCTTAATAAATTATAAAATGTTAATTTTTTTTTTTAGGAAAATATGTTGGATACAAAGTTATGTCTCTTAACAGTTAGTTTTCTTAAACAATCTGTAGTTAAACAAGTATTAACTGAGGGTGAAAGATATGTCATGACAATATCTCCTGTATTGACGTTTAGCCAACAATCTATGTATGATATTGTTAACAATCTGGGAAGTTTGGCTGCTAGGTAAGTAAAAAATGCAATTTTTTTGTAAAGCATTTTTGGAACATAAAAAAACAAAATTTTTTTTATTAACTTCGTGACTAATGCAATTTGATGCAAAATGTAGAGACTCTAAAAACATAGCTCCCTATTGGGTAGATTATACACAATATTTACAACCTTATTAAAAATTATTTAACTCATTGGATTTAATCAACATTGATAGGAGAATGCATTGATAATATGTTACCAATCAAAAAGTCGCTGCAAATATTTTTAATTCAATTAATAATTAATTTTTGAAAAAAAATTATTTCGTTCATTTATTTTTTAAATAAAATACGCTTTTCATGACGTATATGCATGTTTTTTATATCAAATTAAATCTAATGTTTTTCTTAATATGATGATATAAGGTTGCCTCGAGAAAAAATGGTCACAAATTAAATCGCGGTATCAAAGATAAAGTAAAATAGAGTTATCGCGCAACGACACTGATTTGACAAATAATAATACGGTTCGTCCCAAACCCTTTTTTCAGTGCGTCATAGTTGATCGAATTCTCTCTAACGCATAAAGCTAGAAGTGACAGAAAAAGACGTGAGTCTGTGATTATTATACATAAAACATAGAAAATTATGTATCGTTCACGAGTATTTGCATATTAAAGCGAATTCCACTTACGGATGTATAATTGGTTGGAGTTTAGAATACGCTAAATAGATATCCAATCAATGATGCGCATAAATATAATTTGACGCAGATTATCTTGATCATGACAATACTTTCACAATGTCAGCTGATAAAATGATAATTGTCATTCAAGGTTAGTATTTTCAAACATTTTACAGTGAAAATTTAATTTTGTATTTATTGTCATAAAAATATTTTAAATATGCCGAGATATACCGAGAAAGAACAAAGACTACATACCTATTTAAAAAAATAACCTTTTCACATTTAGTCGATTACGTTCCTGCAACTGTCAGATTTAACTAAAATGTCAAGCAATAATTTTCGACATTCTTAAAATCCTATATGACGTCACATAGTGACGCACTGAAAAAAGATTTTGGGACGGACCGTATATATTTTATTACACTATCTATCGATGCATGCTTTAAACACTCACAACTAATACTTCAAACTAGTGGCGTTGGGCTCTAACTCAATTTTACTTTATCTTTGATACCTCACGTTTTTTACGGCTGGTAATGCTAAATTGCGACCATTTTTCTCAGGCAACTTTACATTATCATTAAAAAAAGTTTTAATTTGATATAAAAAAACATGCATATACGTCATGAGCAGCGTATTTTATTTAAAAATAAATGAACTAAATAAAATTTTTGTTCAAAAATTAATTACTATTGATTGAATAAAAAATATTTGCGGCCATTTTTTGACTGGCAACCTATTATCAATGTATTCTCCTATTTTTAAATGTATATAAAAATGTAAGTTTGATTAACTACTTTATGAACGTAGTGATCTTGCAGTGGGATCTTAGACTATACCCATGAAATCGCGACCGATGAAAATCTTTGAAGTATATTTTCATCAATAACGTCCATTTTCAAGTTGTCCGGAGCCATTTGTAAGCGAATCATTTCCTGCTCTGCCATGGACAATTTTTGGAATACGAAGGACACTTTTTAGTTCACCTACAGTCAAACAACTATCTTCTTCAATCTTCTGTCTAACAGATCTGGGCACGTTTTGAGTCCATAACGGAATCGCAACTTTATCTGCAATAGTATATTTATAATTTTCAAGTATCTTTTAGTTAAGTAAGAGTGAAAACGATATATGTCATGCTACTGCTATATTCCACAAGTCACTGCCAGTAATTAGCTATTTTTAATTCAAGTTATGTTTGTAGTTCAACTATTACCCAAAGTAATATAATTAAATAAAAAACCAGATCTGATGTGGGGGAATTTGAACCGACAATATGTCGGTTCGGTCTCAGGCGCTATTTCGGTCCGTATATCTTAAGGTTGATGCTGTGGACCCCAATTAAGTGCCGCAGAGTTTCTGATTTATATTGTTACGTATTTTTAGTTTTGCTACTGTTTTCATCAGGTGTTCTCTGAATGAGAGCGTTCTGTCTAGTAACCCCAAGGAATTTCGGGTATTTATTGTGTTTCAATAAATTGTTATTAAAATACACTCGTAATTTGCCAGCCTGTTGTTGAGATGATAGTTAATACTTCAGTCTTTGTAGTACTCGGTTATAATCTTAGGTCGAGAACATAATCCAATTATTGGAATTGATATGCCGATAGTGATAAGCACAGAACGATGTTGAGTATGTGGGAAGTCTGCAAGGACGCTTCTCGAAGCTGTTATTAGCCTATCATTGGTATCTTTTGAGATAAAGCATAGATCTAGGTTATATTCTTTTTCCATGCAGCCGAGTTAAATATTCCTCTGTCTTTGGCATCAAAAACTAGATATGTGTTTTGCTCTTCAGATCATTCAACCAGTGCCTCCCCATTTTCATCATTGGTGGTACACTTCCATATTTCGTGGTGGCTGTTAAAGTTGCCGATGTACATAGTAGGGAGTGGATAGTCTTTACTACTTTGGTTTCCATGTGGCGACTGGGAGTTTATATACAGTATTGTGTGAGTTAATGGAATCATTGTGACTTTTTCAATGTTCACAGTTGGCAACACTGTCCACACAACTGACCAAGCATTAAAAACATAACCTTACTTTTCTCTGCCTTTTATTTAAGGGTGTTTTAGGACATTTCCCACTAAGTTTGTGTTGTTTTGCACTATTTTGTATTGTTTTCGGTAATTAGTAAAATTTTTTCGTTTAATTCGTTTAATAATTTCGTTTAAAAAATAGTCAAATTGGACTGTAGACGTCTGGAGAAAAGTCCTATTTACAAATGAAACTCACTTTATAGTTTAGGGACAGCGGTCGAAATTCGTCAGGAAGTCTGACAATGAAAACTCTACCATCTCACAATCATCAAACCGTAAAACATCTAGTCAAAAAAAAATTTTGGGGATGTTTTTCATACATGGGGGTTGGATGTTTGGTACCAATCGAAGACATGCTGAACAGCCAAAAATACAAATCCATGTTGGAACAGCGTTTGGACACAGAACTAAAAAAATGTCAGCCCCAAGGAGCAGCGATTCTTCAACAGGACTCTGCTCCCTTTCGCAAGTCAAAGCAGATTATGGTATTTTTCAAAAATACGAAGATTAATGTTTTAGATTGGCCCGGTAATTCGCCAGACCTCAACCCCATTGAAAATTTGTGAGACATTTGCAAAGCTAGACTCTGCAAAATTGCCTGTACTACAAAAATAGAAATGATAGAAACGGTCATTCAGGTTTGGTCTCTAGGTGAAAGGATATCTGGGAACTGTCAGAAGCTCGTAGAATCTATGCCAAAACGGGTAAAAGCAGTAAGTGCAGCCAAAGGGGGACATATTTCCTTCTAAATGATGTCAGTTTACCTTTATAGTTCTATCAAAATATAATTTTTTTCTATATAAACTGTTTTTTCATTAAAACGGCCTATGATTCCATTAATTCGCACAGTACTGTATGTTAACTACGATAATCTCTCCAATTTTGGTGACCACTTCATGTATATTGTTTTGATTGGAAGCAGTAAGCATGAACCCATTTTCTATATTGCTACAAAGATAGATTGCGACAACGTAATGTTTATCGTAAGTGGCTCCCAGTAAATCGTAGCCAGGTATCTGTCCCCTTAAACCAAGCTGAACTTTGTCTTCAGCATGGGTCTCTTATATGGCTACCAGGTCAATGTCGTTATCGTGTAGGATTTTATGGCATTTTGCTTTGCTTAGGCCGATGTTAAGGTGACAGGTAGTCTAGAAATTAATCTTAAAAAGACCCAGTACATAACAAACTTAGTGCCTCACAGAAGCACATCCACAAACTTATATTTTGACCACGAACTTATAATGGGTGGAGGTAACCAAACTGTGTGTACATCCAGTATTGAGTTATGCTGCAGAAAATTTAACACTAAAAAATCTGTGGAAAAAGTCAGAACAGCGAAACATGAAGCGGTGGATGTTAGGATTAATGCTGAGAGATAGAGGGAGATCCATATGTCATAAGAGACAAATGTCATTATCTATGAAGTAGAATTGAACCGGACACAAGGAGAGAATTAATGACACTAGGAGGACTAAGTGCATAATGGAGTGGTTCTAGATTTCAGACATTTCAGATATAGAGATAGGGGAAGACCTCCGACATTATGGAAGGATGATATAAAAAGCTTTCAACAAACTGGATCTACACGAGAATATCGGGAGCACTGGAGACAGCTGAGACCTGAGTTCAGTCGTGGACGTTGTTCTATATAATTACGCATTCCTGACTAAGAAAATTCATGATTATTTCAAACAGTATTTTCGTAATATAGTTTTTACATATATTTTAACATATTGTTTTAGGTTCATTTTTAGACCAATAGAAGAATCTGCATATTTTTATTTTACCCAGATGATAAAACGGGATGTGGTTCTGAAGAATCAAAAAGAAGTAAGCAACGATTTTATAGATATTTTTAAATGACAAAAGAACTTTATACCCTGAGAATTTTATTTAGTAGTTATGGAGATATATTCAAATCAATATTTTTAGTATAAATAAGTTAAATTTCAATTGAAAGGAATGGGTGCGTTCAGATGACCTCAGCGGGTGACTTTAAGAACAAAGCGGCTTATATCCAACAAAAGCTTCTGAATGCATTTGTTGACATTTCATTTCATGTTTGACGTTTTGACGTATCTAACCTCAATATTAACATAAATACGTCTATAAATAAACATTCTCGTTCAGTACCAAACTGTACTTTCATTATTTTATTGTAAATCAATTTTTTAGATCAATCGAAATTTTTAATTAAAACTCTTAAATAATTAAAAGGTATGATTGTGTACCAGACATGCCCAAGCAACCGCTGAGCTGAGTTCATCAAGCGGAAATAAAATACGCCTAGTAAATTTGACAACTGCAGACTTCCAGCGGCTTGCGCTGGAGGCGTCTGAACGCTGCCACTTAGTCAGCTGTCCAGCCGCTGAGGTCGTCTGAACGCACGAAATAATTGTCAAAATATTCCTTCCAATCAATTATTATAAAAAATAGTGCTATTGTGTACTTATTATATTAACCGTTGTTATATTTGTTTTTAGAAAAACATTTCAGAATCTGCTGAAGTTTTGAGCCAGTTGTGTAAGATAGTAGTGACTATTGGGCTTTTAGTTGTCACATTTGGACAAGCATATAGCTACTCGTTTCTTTTCTTGTATGGAGGATACAAATTAGTAGAGAATAATTTATCTGTAATATTGTTGAGGTTCCATAGTTTTGCAATAGTTCTCCTTGCTATAAATGGCGTTACTGAAGGATATGTTTTTGCTACAATGAATAATCAACAATTAGATAGGTAAAACGATATTGAAATAATTTTTATGTGTTGTTAAATATAATTAATACTCCAATAGTACTAAAGTACTACTAATTTATGAATAGATCCTATACGAAATCATAATCATCATTGGTGCTACAGCCCTATAGTAAAACCTCGGCCATTGCCAACCGTTGCCAGTTCGGTTGCAAATAAATTATTATTATATGTCCGAACAAATCTATTTAAAATTCAAGCTTATGTTTACCTTATTTTAGTAAAAAAGTAAAAAAATCATTATTATTCTCTTTGAATTTAACTCTAATGGAGGCCATACACGTTAGGGTTTGCATGATGGTTTTAATCTTGCATGCATAATCCACAGGTATGATCGGGTTCCATGAAGTATATACTCGTTAGGGTTTGCATGCACAGTTTTGCCTTTAATGGAGGCCATACACGTTAGGGTTTGCATGATGGTTTTAACCTTGCATGCATAACCGACAGGCAAGCCCTAACGTGTATGGGATAAAACTGTACAGTTATCGGTGCATGTACATGCAACCGAGCAAATAGGAAAATTGATATTTTATGCCGCTCGGTTTTGCTTGCCTGCGAGCATACCCTAGCGTGTGTGGCGTCTGGCGAGCTTGCCTGCCCTGCCATAGTTCTCTTCTCAGTTTTTATTTGTCTGCAACGGTGAAAGGTCGATCTTCGAAAATGGCGAGTCGCAAGCGCAATGCCACATTAGAAGAATTTATTGAAATTTATAAGTCCGAACATTGTCTTTGGCGCGTAAAGTCCAAAGAATATCACGATAGAGACAAACGATCGGCAGCATACAAGAAACTGATAATTAAGCTCAAGGAATTGGATCCTACTGCTACAAAAGAAGATGTCATTAAAAAATTAATACGTTACGTAGTAATGTTAGACGAGAAAAAAAAAAGTACGATGAATCTGTGAGATCTGGAGCATCATCTGATGATATTTATAAACCAACACTGTGGTACTTTGAACTATTCGATTTTATTGCAGATCAAGACATTCCTCGCAGTTCACGATCTAACATTTCGGATATTGATGAGAATGATTCCAATGTAAGTATAAATTAGTACTTTGTTTTGTAATTTATTTGTTTTGTAATTATTTGTTTTGTAACAAATTGCAATTATTTTGTAATTTATAGATTAGGTACAGCCGACCACAAAGCATTATATTTTTTTATACCATTCATGTTAATGGGTAGGTACTCTCGAATACAACTTGTAACGCTAGATGTATGGTCGTCTATACCTAAGTTTCTTGCAACTTCGTTCATAGCTTTACAAAATGTAGGTACGTAACTACATAGATTGTTACAGAAACAACTCTTAAGCGGTGAGGTTGCTCATTTATTCATCAAACAATATTATTACATAAATAAAAGAAATATATCACATTTCAATGAAACTATCCTGCCAAGGTACTTTGCCTTCATTCACAAAGTAAGTTTGATATTCAAGTCTGACTTTTTTTGCATCATTCAGGACATTTCCTCGATTTTGTACTTGCAAATTTTCTGCGTGTGAACGTGTGATATCGTAACCCGTGGTAACAACAGTTCCATTATCCATATTTTCTCGATAAAAACATCTTGGAGGTGCATATGAATTAGGGGTCTGGTCCATTAGAAAGTTGTGCAAAACACATGTAGCCATCACCACTTTTTCTATATTGATTGGTTCTAAATTGATCTGAGTATGGTAAATGCGAAATCTTGATGTCAGTATGCCAAAAACGTTTTCAACTATTCTTCTTGCTCGAGATAATCTGTAATTAAAAATTTTTTTATCGTAGCTGCTCAAATCCGCCTGACGATATGGTTTCAGCATGTCAGGTCTCAAGGGGAACGCATCATCAGCAACAAATACATATGGCAAACACCTTGAATTGTGTTGAATTGGTTCGGAGTTTGGAAGATTTAAACGTTTCATTTGTAACTTTTCAAAAAAGCTTGTATTCTGCAAAACACCTCCGTCGGAAACTCTTCCATTTGTACCAAAATCTGCTAATAGAAATCTGTATTTGGCATCAACTATTGCCATAAGAACCATGCTATGTCGTCCTTTGTAGTTGTAAAAATGAGATCCACTATCAGCAGGTGGAACTATGTCAATATGTTTTCCGTCGATGGCACCCACGCAGTGAGGAAAATTCCATCTCTCTTCAAAAAGTTGTGCTATTTCCTTCCATTTATCCGATGAATCTGGAAACTAAAATAAATATTACTTTGTATTGTTACAGGATACTGACAACTATACCGAAAATACCACAGATAATACGGATAATACGGATACAGATAATAATATTACGGATAATGCAGCTGCAAATGCTACTGATGATATTACGACACCAAAAAAGACTCCATTACCTGCTACTAGACCGGGAAAGAAGAAAAGGACAGAGCAAGATCAGTTAACCACTGACATATTACTATCAGTGAAAGACCATTTTAAGCGTCCTGCTTCTGCTTCGGCGACAGAAGATCGGTACGATCTTTTGGGAAGATCTATCGCAATTAAATTAAGATCGCTAGACAAGCGTCAACGGTTGATTGCGGAGAAAATAATTAACGACACCTTGTTCGATGCAGAGATGGGCAATTTGAATAGTGAAGAAATTCAAAAATCGTCGAACTTTAACATATGTTTCTTCACCACATCCTAATCTCCCACGAAATCCAACTCCTTCGCCCTCAGTAGTACAATATTCTACAAAACCGTATACCCACACGGCTTCTGTTGCGCCTCAAAGACAACCATGCGTATCTCCGACACAACAAAGGTACACGATTTCTCCTGTACCGCAAAATGAGCTCTGCACATCACCAATTCAACACTCAGGATATAACACTCAAGAACAAAGTACTTCTGCACCAGAATTTGACACACAACCAACAACAGCAACATTTTATTCAAATTTTAATTACGAATTAATTTAAATATGTCAACCTATTAAACTTGTCTAACTACTCGAATTTGGTTTTATTTACTCACCTGTAGATATTCCTTTTTCAGAGCTTCATAAATAGCATCACATGTTTCTGGTATTATTCGGCCCAAAGCCTGAGGTGATATAATAGCAGAATATTTGAGACACTCGTATGTTCTTCCTGTTGCAAGAAATCTTAATGTTACTGCTAGTCTCTCATGTGCTGATATTGCTTTCCTCATAACAGTATCTTGTCTTTGTATTAACGGAGTAATCAATGATAATAGTTTCAAATAAAGTTTTTCATCCATTCGTAAATAATTTTTGTAATCTGTTGGTTTAAATCTCAATTCATTTATCAAATTTACGTGGGAGAAATGATTTCTTTTCAATAACCAGCGTTTAGACCATTCAGTGCGATCTCTCTTTTTTTTTCTTTTCTGAAGAATAAGTGTTAAGCCAAGTACTGCTATCACATCGTTGTCGTCCATTGTAGTTTGGTACGTATATACCACACAAAGTATCGTAGGCGTCCTGCACACACCGTCACGTAGCTTAACAGAAGAGTTAATGGCAAAACTGTACATGCAAACCCTAACGTGTATTTGTAATATGGAACTCGGTTATACCTGTCGGTTATGCATGCAAGGTTAAAACCATCATGCAAACCCTAACGTGTATGGCCTCCATAACTCTTCTGTTAAGCTACGTGACGGTGTGTGCAGGACGCCTACGGTACATTGTGCGGTATATTCCTACCAAACTACAATGGACGACAACGATGTGATAGCTCTACTTGGCTTAACACTTATTCTTCAGAAAAGAAAAACAAAGAGCGATCGCACTGAATGATCTAAACGCTGGTTATTAAAAAGAAATCATTTCTCCCACGTAAATTTGATAAATGAATTGAGATTTGAATGGATGAAAAACTTTATTTGAAACTACTATCATTTATTACTCCATTCATACAAAGACAAGATACTTTTATAACGAAAGCAATATTAGCACATGAGAGACTAGCAGTAACATTACGATTTCTTTCAACAGGCAGAACATAGAGTGTCTCAAATATTCTGGTATTATATCACCTCAGGGCAGCTTTGGGCAGAATAATACCTGAAACATGTGATGCTCTGAGAACTATGGCAGGTAAGCTCGCCGGACGCCACACACGCTAGGGTATGCTCACAGGCAAGGAAAACCGAGTGGCATAAAATATGAATTTTCATATTTGCTAGGTTGCATGTACATGCACCGATAACTGTACAGTTTTATCACATACACGCTAGGGCTTGCCTGTCGGTTATGCATGCAAGGTTAAAACCATCATGCAAACCCTAGCCTCCATTACAAGAACACAAAGTTTTTTGTATTATTAGTTGTTTGTGTTATGTATAATTGAAAAGGAGTACAAAAGCAACGACCAGTTGTAGTCATAGTTTTTAAATGATTGTAAAAATTCATAAAAATTATTGGTTTTGCTAATACTCTTCAAATCTAATACAGGGTAAGTCAAAACACAAATTCATCATTTGGTCAGTATTTTTAAAAGCATAACCTTATATTTTATATTACCATCATAAACTTGATAAAGACAATGTACTTTAATTTTTTCTTAAGTATTAAAAGGGGTATTTTATGACTAGCTTATTATTTTTATTTACTTTACTATTTACAAATGTCTTAAATTAACACAAAATATAAAGAAATTGTTATTTTCATTGAAGGTGTTAGAAATGAGTTCATATCTTATTAAAATCAAGGTTGTTATGAAGGTACGTTCCATAAATTGACAATTCAATTTGAAATTATTTGTTTTGACATTGTCTTGAATTTTAATTATTTTACATTCAACAATGGATTTTGAAAGGGGAGAACCGGTAGACAAAATATGAATATTAGGTGAATGTAATAAAACTGTTTACTTGCAGCAAGATGAGCGATATCCGATCGTCGGCAATCGAATAAGAGAGCTTTCAAAAAGTAAATGATATATTTAATTGTAATAGTTCAGTGTTATATGAGACTATGAGACTTTACTGGCCGTTACTGAGCATTTTAATACAAATATCCGAAATATTTCAAGAGAGCAAGTCATTAGTTACGGATCTATTCAGCAAATTCTCTTAACACACCAAATATCCATCGACACCAAGAATTGGATTGACTGCGAATGATTTTTGAAAAAAGAATGCTTTATGCGAATGGGAACAACAAAAAATAAATGTACCAAGAATTTTTTTCGATTTTGTTTTATTCGGAGATAAAGCAAATTTTCACAAAAAAAAAGATGATACAGTAGGCGGTACTGTAAACTATATATATATATATATATATATATATATATATATATATATATATATATATATATATATATATATATATATATATATATAGTTTATATTGTATATATTGTATATATATATATATATATATATACAAAAAAAAGTACAAGTAGTTTACCCTATACGATACGATAAATGTATCTACATAAAATACACAAGAAGATCATAGCTGAAATGTACTTCAGTACTAAAAAAATAAATGAGCATTAAATATGAGATATTTCTCGTTAATTAATACTAATCGCAATCCATATCTAAATCGTCCTCATCCTTTGAATCATCTCCTATATTATTTTTCACCGGTTAATATTCGTTCTACCGATTTTTTCTTTCAAATCGGCCTTGTTTGAAGCCACATACCTTTTTACTTCGCTCGCTATATTTTTCCGCAATTGTTTCAATTTTGTAATTGTCGTACTCGTTTATAAATGCGACTGCAGTATCCAGTAATTAACTTTTAGGTAATCTTCCTCGAAGAAAATGCTCTTGTCGATTAGCCATTTCTTGATTTGCCTTTTGTTCTATAATTTTTTCGGGAAATCAAATTTGCGGGAGTGGTATGACGCGTTATCCAAAAAGACATTTTCTTTGTCTTTCGACAAATTGCAATTAACGTCTTCCCAAACCATTCTTAATATAGATCCCCATCCATTTCGTCGTGGTACCAAGAAGAACAAACCAAGGACCTCTTTGGGATGGAGCTTTCAGCCCAGTAGAGAGCTCTTTTATGGAGACATCTCGTGGATTCTTCATCGTTGTGTCCCTCTATTCCTTTTTGACTAAAGAACTGACAAAAAAAAATTCATGGACAATTTTCCTTATTCGAGAGTTCACTCCCTCATCGTATGTATTCTCACGTGAGTTGGATTGGAAACTGTTTTTCTTCCTTTTTTTGTACCGTTTTCAGTTTGCCTTGCTGGGCCTCTTCGCGGATGTCATAAATTTTGCGAACACTCACACCGCACATCTTCGAAACTTTTTCCACAGTAATAATCAAATCGACAAAGAGACATGTTTGCTTTGCGTTGAAAATGGGAATTAAAACTGATTCGCTTCTCCTAATGACTTTATAATGATCTTTATTTCCCAAAGAATGTGTTTACAATTGAAGCTATTGAAAATTGACAATGAGTTTTTGATATATTTTACTTTTTTATAGTATTTTCTTGATGTTTGACAGTGTAACTCTCTAATTTATATATCGATGATTGAATCATGCTTAAGTTAAAAAAAAATATTAGTCTTTTATACAACCGTAGGCAATTGTTGTGTGCGGTGCTGTGATTCTTAAATCCGGTCCTCAAGCGCCGCTCGGGGCAAACCGGCAACGTGGTCGGCCTTTGTCCCGTTAGAAATACATTTTACCTGCACTTCATTCTAACTTTGGCTTCTGCTATAGCACGAAACTTCATGCTATGTTTTCTGTATTTCTAAAATTTAAATAATATTTAAGTTAAAAAAACTTTATTATTTATTTATGATTTATATTTTAAACAAAATACCTTATATTTAAATAATTCAATAAATTATTATGTTTGTTCCCAACGCCACCTCCTAATGTATCAACAAAGTTATGCTGTATATTTCGTCTGCATTGTTGCCAAGCGATACGTTGTTTACTTCTGACAGATCCGTTAAAGTCAGACTAAATATTAAAATAATAATGAAATATAAAATAAATATCATTTGATAGTAAATTTAATGACTATATAAACTAAATAAGTTTTAAAAAAATAAAATTTGAAATAAAATTATTAACAACCAACGTTAAAACATTATAACGCAATTATAAAAGCTTCTCTCTTAAAACTGATATGTCAGTCGGCATAATTTCTACTATTACTCCACAAAAAATCTGTACCATATAATTACGAAGAATCAAACTAGGTGTAACTGTATTGGAATCAATCAGCGGTACTCCGAATAGATGGAGAATATACAGAACAGGTCAAAATCTTAAGAGGAGTGAGACAGGGGTGCATAATTTCACCACTGATATTCAATCTGTACTCGGAGCACATTTTTGAAGAGGCCCTAAAAGATATTGATGAAGACATCTCAATAAATGGAGTCAAGCTTAATAACCTGCGGTATGCAGATGATACAATAGTGTTTTCCAATACCATAGAAGGGCTGGAAAACTTAATGAACAAAATAACAGAAACAAGTAGAACCTATGGACTTGATATAAACACCAGCAAAACCAAGCTAATGATCATCAGCAAGCAAAACATAACTGGAGCAAATCTGTATGTGAACCAAATGAGAATTGAATGTGTCTCACAATACAATTACTTGGGAACTATAATCAATGAGTCGTGGGACAATACCCAAGAGATTAAATGTCGCATCGGAAAGGCCAAAAGTGCATTCTTGGCTATGAGCTCTGTGTTCAAAAGCCATGACCTCACCCTGAAAACAAAAATAAGGCTCCTTAAATGTTACGTATACTCAGTGCTTCTGTATGGAGTAGAAACGTGGACATTGAAGTCGGAAACTCTATCAAAACTTCAGGCGTTTGAATTATGGTTATACAGAAGAATCCTGATGATACTATGGACAGACAAAGTCACCAACGAAGAAGTACTGCGGAGGATGAACACAACCGCGGATTTGGTCAACATTGTGAAGAGCCATAAGCTGGAGTACTTGGGACATATTATGAGAAATCAAGGCATATACGAGCTACTCCAATGCATTTTGCAGGGTAAAATTGAAGGAAAAAGAGCCCCAGGACGAAGAAGAATATCCTGGCTTGCTAACCTGAGAGCATGGTATAGAAAGACCTCAACACAGCTATTTCGTATAGCAACCAACAAAATCATCATAGCCATAATGATCGCCAACGTTCGGAACGGACAGGCACCCTAAGAAGAAGAAACTAGGTGGTTTTTAAACGCTTATGGCTTAAGTTGATGATGATGATGAACGTTCAACAAAATTTAATGAAAGAAACAACATAGACAGCGTTACATGAAGACGAAATTATGTTAGAAAAAATAAGTTTAAGAAAGAAAAATTATAATCGTCTTACAATGAATAGGCATTTTTCTATTTTGTAGACAGATACACAAAATATGTGTACAAATATTTACAGATATCAAAATTATAGTGTCGTATGATCAAATTTATATTCTGTTTTAGGTATAACTACATAATGGTGATATTTTCCATATCGTTTTTAATAATATCTTATTTATTTACTTATATATTTGGACCAGTGGGATTCATTTTAGCCAATTGTATTAATATGACGGCTAGAATCGTTCATAGGTAAGATAAATAATATTTAATACTTTTGAGTTGAATCAAATTAAAATACATTTCGATGCACTATTTGGAAGCTTCCAAAATGAACAAGTTATGTTTATGTACAAGTTTATCATAATTAATCTTTAATTTTATTTTTATCGATTCGTTATTAAAATATTTAATTATTTTTTGTAATTTTTCTTTTTTAATGGATATAAATACAATGAAATTTGCACAGTAAACTTACCCTTCAAATTTTTGGTTTAGGTTTGTAGATTGCATGTTATTCTTATATAATATAAAGATTCCAAATATAAGAAGTTAATTCAATTTTATCGGTTTGAAGACATTGGGATATAGTACTTTTTTCACCAAAGCGAAGAAATCGCGTAATTATCTTCACTCTATTTCTTCCCATTTCATTTGAAACAATTTGCCCCAAAAGTGTTTCTAAACTTTTTTTCTGTTTCTAAACTCAAAAAAATCTTTGTTCTATCAAAGATTCTAGAGACGTATTCTAATTCTTCCATACAAAATATCCAGTTGTTATCATGTACTTGTTTATGTGCTTTAGCTTCAGTGTATTTTATATACTTCGCTATCGAAGTAAACAGGACATGTCTCATATAAACACACATTGTTAATATTTTACATTTTTTACACAGTTGTTTCTGGATAAATTTCTGTAAGAAATGTATCCAAGTGTTGCTACGCCACTGGTAGCAATTAACTGACAAAGTCTTAAAATCTACCGAGGTAAATTCTCCAGCAAATTCTCATGAGAAAGCCGACAATGTATTGAAAAGATATTTTTACCCACAAAAAACTTTTTTCCCAAAATTTCCCTGTTAGGAAGAATTCAAAAGGTGGATTTTACCTACTTCTGTATAGAAATATCGAAGTTGTTCCTCGCAAATCCCTTGCCAATAGTCAGGCATTGCAATCAGAATTTTAAGTATTTAATATAAAATTGTATCCCAGCTTAGCTAGTCGCTTCTTGGTTAGAGGTTTTACTCTCGCTTATTAGTTAGTGTTAGTTTCGTATTCTATCAAATTCGACGCATTTCTGGTTTAAGAGTTTTTGACTCTCGCGTATTGAGTATACCTAGTTATTGTTACATAGCTTATAGTTAAAAGCCGAACGCTCAATCTTAATCACGTATATTAATATTAAAGAAAACATCCTTAGTTGAAGTGATAATTATTAGTAACATTTTAATCTGTATCAAGTCTCGTGTAGTGTGTCGCGGACTAGTGTTAGGTGGACAGTGATCGGCGGTGTCAATAAATTTTCTAGATATTAACTTCGTTGTAGTAGCATTCAATTATTAAATTACGTATTGTTTAACTGCTTGTGTTCTTATTTCCCACGCCAGTGGGTGGTCCTTCAAGTAATTACATGACTTAGTACGCTCTAAATAGTAGGAAGATCGCCATCCTAATTGGTTGAGCAAATGTCCGTTTAATTCTACCAGTTTTAAATAGGTAAAGAAATAATAAATCAGACTTACTCACAATCAATTTAATTTAACTATCCGACGACCGGTTTCGCTTTCTACAATATGCAAAGCATCTTCAGGTCTCGGTACAAAGTTAAACAAATGCTGAAATGATAAAAACCCATATTAAGGTGTTGTCTAATAAAGATAAACAAACTAGATGTTATAAATTACAATAATTATGCCAATATTACCTGTCTGTGGTTTTATTTAAATGATTGAGTTGAATAAAAGGTATAAATATTTTTTAAAAAAGTTAAAAGGACAAGGTAAGGCCCACAAATTGTCATAAAAACTCTTCTATTGGAATAAATTAATGAATGAGCAAATAAATAAATGAAATAAAATAAAATTACTTACATGCCGGTACTCTATTAATAGATGGATGGTAGAACATGTTTGAAACTACTGTATATTGTTGAATGGAGAATAATAAGAGAATTGCAATAATAGTATTGAGTTGGGAACGTTGATCTACTATTCCTTTCTACTGGTCCTAAGATCACGACGTTGTCATATACAATATGACTCTTTACACAGTATATTATCGTACTTTTAGATGTTTTCTATTTATAAATATTGATGTTATTTAAATACATTTTAGATACCTTAACGAATACAAATCGATCATTAATCCAGTGGCGCACCCAGGGGGATGGGGGGGTTGGTCTGGTAATAAAAAAATTTCAGTGCCCAACCAAACCCCCCCCCAGAGGAAAATTCTAGGTGTGCTACTGCATTAATCTACGATAATTTTGCTGCATGTGAACGATTGAAATATAAATTGCTAGAATATCTATCACCACAAACTGGAAACGATGTCGATTTATCGCATTTACATTTCTGAGAATCTACTGCATACAAATATGATTCTCAATAGATGCTAAGTGTTGCTTATTCTAAGTTCGTTATTCATGCAGAAGTTTATCATCTGTTCTCCATTTTCGTTTTTAACATTCTCGTTATGTTTTTGCTTGATTCCGTGTATTACTTGATTGTCTATTCGAGCATTATCCCAAATCACGCAATATTATCATCTTCCCTTTGACTTGATCTACTACTTGTTGTAATTCGTCATAAAACGTTTACCTTGTTGTTTGAGGCTTGTTATATAAAAAAATAATTGCACGAAATTTTTTATAACATAAAAATAAACATCTGTTATTTATCTTTTTTCAGTTTAAGGTTTATTAGCAAACAGTACAAAGAGACGAAATATAGACCTTTAGAAGGCCTAGTTCCAGGAAAGAAGTTCTTTTTAGCTCTCCTTATATCAGGCATCGCAACAAGGTTGTCAGAGGTAATGTGTTTTTAATACTGTTTAAATTATTTACAACGTTATTGACTACTAAAGTTAAGACTAGGATAATACATAAGGGAGAATCTTTTTAAATTGTATATTTAACGCTACAGAGTTAAATTATATGAAATATTAGTTTTATTTAAAAAAATTTGTTGGCTGCAGTCAAAATATATATAATATTGTTAAGTTCTTCTTTGGGTTCAGCGATTAAGTGAAACGAACGTAGTTTAACTATTTTTATTTAACTCACTTACCAAGAAACTCACTAAATAACAAATATTTCATTGACAATTATAAATACACTAATAATTTTCGCCTACAGTAATATGGGTTCGCTTACAAACACACTTATTTAATTACTGTCTATTCAAAGGAGCCGAGCAGATTATATACGCGAACGTATATTCTAGAGTTTCATCGAAGGTACGAATGCCGAATCGGCATTTAATACTTTAGTACGAGATTCCAGAAAAATACAGTTAAAGAGTTCGAGAACTTTGCTGACAAAGTAATTAATTCAACTTCTAAAATTACTGTTACGCCAGGGTCGCAATTAAAGCATTGTGAGTCAGACTTAGAAGAATCTGTCATGAGTCATTTAGATTTTAATGTACTATTCTTCTATATTATAGATGACTGTATATGTGCTATTCCAACAAATAAAATGACCAAAATTTTAGATAATTACAATAGTTACCATCCAAAACTGAAGTTTACTGTAGAAATTGAACAGAATAATAAAATAAATTTTCTGGATATCACCTTACATCGCATTAACAATACAGTTAAAACCATGTGGTTTACAAAAGAAATGCTCTTCACGATATCTCAACTAAAATTCTCATCATCCATTCTCCCATAAGAAGTCTGCAATTATAAGTCTTGCTGATAAATCTGTACAACTAACAGATGTAGAATACAGACCAACTGCAATAAAAAAAGCAAAAATCGGGATATGCATTCTAAAGAATGCATATCCCGAACATCTAATCGAAACTATTTTCAAATCAAGACTTAATAAATTTTACAAGTATCAAAACTACTTATACAACAGTTGTATATTTTCAAGAAGAGTTACTCTTCTATATATAAAAGGTTTATCCGAACAATTAACAAATCTGTAAGCCAAACATGACCTAACAGTGACCCACAAGGTCAATAACCTTTTAAATAAATATTTTACTAAACGAAAAACTCCAGAACTCAAAAAATCACATGTTGATTAGGAGATACCATGTATTAACTGTGAAGGTGTCTATATCGGGCAAACCAGTCAACTACTTCAATCCAGAATTCGTTCTCACAAATATGACAAGAACAATGTCACTGCGCTGAGAAGAAGCATAAATTTTACTTCGAAAACATCAAAATTTTCAAACCGAATAAAACAAAAAAAAGAAGGGGGATATATACGAATCAATAGAAATAAAAAGAAATACCAACGCAATAAATGACAAAAAAGACACTAAATACCTAAATAAAATATATTTCAATCTGATTTAAACAATAATATATATAACACCATAAAAAGCTCTTAAAGTCATAACATATCTCCACTTTACCTTGTTACTGATAAACTTAGAAGTGATAACTTCTCACTGTTTCAGCTTTGGTAAGGGACAATTTCAATTTCAGCTTTCTTGGTTTCATCACTCTCCACCTTCAGTTTCATTGACCGAGAGTCACACTTACTGCAAGTGTCTTTGCTCGGAGGTTTAAAGTGTAAATTGAATTTGCTATTAAAAACGTGGTAGTAATACTTTTGTTTAACAGGTGACTTGTTTTCTAATGCACACTTTTTTACGTATAAGTCGTACATCTTCTTGATTGTCAGTTCACTATTCGAATATTTACGGTTGGGGTTGTGTGTACGAGAATAATGACTCGAGAATGCTGTAAAAATGCGATATGGGCTCGTACATCTGCATCGCTTATTTTATTTTTAGCTTTGGCTCTTCCCTTGCCTCAATAACGCTGTGGAATTCTTCTTTAACAAGACATCTTTCAACTCATCCCCAGCTGATACAGTAGGTTTTAAGAAATAGTTTTTTACATATTTGAATAGTCTCATTACCTGTATCCAGTAAGTATTTATATGAACGATTCTTGGGAGCACCGTTCCTATTTCGTATACGGGATCTGTTTTTGCAATTTTTAGGTACGTATTTTGCAGGCTACAATCTCCTAAATGCCAAAACGAGTTAAACAATAAACGCCGTTTGTTTATATCAACTTTTTCTATACATTTTCGCCTGTTGGTTTTGTATGTCATGTCACTGTTTCACAAAGCCTTCCGTGAATAACGCTGCCATTTTTCTGGAATTTAAACTGAAACATTTACAACGCCTTACATCGAACACAATATTACGTTTGAATTAACGCATTCATAGGCGCAGGTGGACTTGACTCACTGTTGCGCTGAATCATAACAAATTCTTTTTACAACGACAGTAATTTTATGCTGTCTACGGTATAACCAATGGAGACAGGACTAGGCTGTTTGTTGCATTGAAAACAATGACTTTTAGATATTATAAACAGGCAAAAACATAAAAAAATATTGGACTTGGACCATTGTTGTTCCGAGACACCCATATAAAGGACAAACACACCTATAAATTTGTTACAAGAAGATAAAAAAAATGCGAATTAATTTTATTTATGTATATTTATCGGAGTACATTTTAATGGTCCATATGTGAATAATAAAGTCAGAAGGTCTCTGTTATATAGTTTTAAGATTTTGAGTAAAGTTCTTTTCTGCTCACTTGAATTTTAACTGTCAAGATATGCTTGTTAATTTATAAAAATCAACAGATTTAACATTTTTTTGATTGATACTTAATTTTTAGATGTACATTCTACAAAAATCCTTAATTATCCACATTGGAGTAGGTGCAGTATTTTTCTTTATCACAATTTCCATATGGGCATTAGACAATGTTGTGATATTAAGATTAGCCCTAGACAAGTTTAAGGAACGAAGAAGTTCACTTAAAGTTGATTAGCTTTCCATTAATTTAAAAAGAATGTGATACATACATAGTTTTTATTTACAGTAATATATTAATTGTTACCCAAGATAGTGACTGTTATTTTTCCTGTAAGTTTCCTAGAACAACAGAATATAAGTTATAACAAAAAAAATTATAATGAAGAATTTGTGTTATTAAATTTAAACACAATACAAACTTCTCATGAAGAAAAAGACCAAATGAGTAGTACTGTTGAAAACATAAATAATTACTGGAATGAGTGCGAAAATATCCAGAAATAAGTAGCAACAACAGTTGTGGGAAAGAAGAAACAAGAAAGGAAGCGGACAGAATGGTATGATGCGCACAGACAACTCAAAAAAAGAATCAGGCATATGCGAAACTCCAAAACAGAAGGACAAGATAAAATCAAGAGGAGTACAAACAGATGAAACAAGCAGAGAAAAATATACTAAAACAAAAGAAAAAACGACATTTAGAAAACCAGCTAAGGAACTAGAAACGCTCAGTTCACAAAGCGAAGCGCGAAAATTTTCTAAAAATGTGAACCACAACAGAAAATAATTTAAACCTAGAATAACCATAATAAAAAGTAAGGAAGCCGAAATTATCAACGAGCCGGATTAAATAGTGGAGAGATGGGCGGGGAATTTTGCTGATAAATTAAATATAGGCAACCAAGAAGTGACTTACATAAATGACCACAGTGGAGACGTAGACGATGAGAGGGAGAAAAATAATATACCAACAGAAGAACTTGCCAAGGCAATAAAAAGGTTAAAAAACAACAAATCCCCTGGAGAAGATAGTATACCCCCTGAGCTGTTCAAGTATGGAGCAAACGCCCTAAAAAAATACATAATAAAACTTGTTGCATCCATTTGGAGAGAAAGACAACTCCCAGACAGTTGGAATGTAGCTATTATAATAAAGTACTGGCTTATATACTTTATGATCGTTTTCTAGTATATACTGAGGAAAAAATAGGCAAATACCAATGTGAATTCCGAAAAGAAAGGTCAAAAATTGATCAGACAAACCTTAGAAAAGACATATGAATATATAATTGATTACCACCACCTCTTCATAGATTTTAAAAGCGCTTATGACAGTGTAGACAGATGCGCACTTAATAATGCCATGGCAGAACTAGATATTCCGTCGCATCTAATAACATTGGTAAATGCAAATGTTTCGAAAGTTGAGTGCAAAGTCAAGGTCTTTTCAAACACATACTGGATTACGCCAGGGAGACAGTCTATCGTGCCTATTGTTTAACATCGCGCTAGAAAGAGCCATAGAGAAATCGGGCATAACAACCAGAGGTACGATCATCAATAGAAGTGTACAGATATTGGCCTACGCAGATGACATTAGACATAGTAACACAGACAAAAAGAGACCTGATACAGGCTTTTAAAACATTAGAAAAAGCCGCGAAGACAATGGGACTGTAGGTCAACGTATCCAAAACAATATACATGAAGGTCACGAACAGCACACAAATAGCGGCATCACAAGATCTGGTGACAGAAGCACACATTCGAAGGGGTCTCGGAGTTTATATATCTTGGAACACAACTAAATAACAACAACCTAGTAAGCGTAGAAATTAAGAGAATATACATGGCGAACAGAGCTTACTTTGGACTAAAACAGTTCTTAACATCACACATAATTAGCAGAAAAACCAAGATACTAATATATGAAACTCTTATTAAACCAGTCCTGACATACGAGTCAGAGACATGGACTATAGTAAAAAGCGACGAAGAACTGTTAGGCCGCTTTGAAAGAAGAATACTTAGACACATATACGGAGGAGTACAAGAGAGCGGGATATGGTGCAGGCGCTACAATGTTGAGTTTTATCAACAGTTTTATCAATTGTATGAAAAATGCAACATCGTCAGGTCTATTAAAATTAATAATAAGGTGGCTAGGACACCTTGAAAGAATGAACACTGGAGACCCCCAAAGACAGATATATCAAGAGCCAGTAGGAACAAGGAAGAGGGGCAGGCTAAGATCTAGATTTAAAACTCGAGTCGAAGATGATTTGAGGAATCAGGGATCAGAAATTGGAAAGCCAGGGCGAAAGATAGAGGGGAATGGAGACTAATTCTTGGCCAAGACCCACCCAGGGTTGTAGAGCCAAATATGATGATGATGACAAACATCCAATTGACAAATAATTCATAATAAATAAAATTTTTGTATTTCTAAAAGATCTCTTCATATTTCTAAAAACCACTTAATGGCTACTCACCTTTCTCGTAGCATTACCTGGTTATGACGGTTTTTTTTCAAATTATTTAATTAATAAAGACAGTTTTTGAAGACTATTAAGCTATTTTCTCATTTTGTTGATAAAAATTCAATAAATAATTTCTTTTTGCACTATTTTAGGTTTGTTTCGATCACAAACAATTTTGTAATATTAATAAAATACATATCAGAACTCTATTTTCCATGACCAGAAAGTATGAATCAAAAACAGTTAAATTGAAAAAAAAACAAATTGATTGATAATATTATGTTAAATTAATATATATTTAGAGTGTTTGAGCAATTACCGAAATTGGATCTGGTGTAATGGAAATATTTTCTGTAAAATGTTCAAAACAGATTGATTTAAAGGAACAGACTTAACATTCGTGTAGGAGATGGAATTGGGATCGAGAGAAAGTTTTCGGTCGATACATTTATTCAATTTTGCAAATAATTTTCTATATATCTTGCGTGCTTCTATTAACGTAGTAGCTGAGTGGACACAATGGCCACTATATTCCTGTTGATTTTCTAGATCCAGAGATACCAATTTGTTTATGCGTATTACCCAGTTTATCATTTAAAATTACTAGTGTACTTTTTTTGTAACTAATAAAAAAATATGTCAGAAGCAGTATTAGCAACAATTATAGTAGACATACTACTATATTTACACTCCTTTTTAGTATGTACTGTCATGCCTTTACAATAATCCTTAAATCTACTGAAATTTTTATAAATCATATTTATATACTAAAAAAACAAATTTTTCGTAATTAATTTCAAAATGTTTTTGATTTGGCGCCAAAATGATCGACTGTTGATAGCACAGAGTTCTAATAATAATTTATTATTAATGTATCTATGGTTGACACACTAGAGTACATTTCAACACATCAATTACCTCAATTGATGCATGTAAACTTTTAAACATCTGCAAACAGTACAAGAAATTGAGGAGAGTGACGCATAAGTGTAACTTCATATATTAACTGTACGAGGTGCAAATCAAATATGTCTTTTACTAATAAGAGAATCAAAATAATCAGTTTACAACATTTTATTAGCTCTCCATACATTTTTTTGTCAACAATATTTAATGTGATACAATTGAATTTGACGATTATTTTCTCTCTCGATATTAGATAATTTATCCAATCATTATAAAAAGTATTTGCTTTCATGTGTAAACAAAGTATGCACACAAGTGTTGTACTATTATATAGTATCTATCAAGATAATAATATCTAATAATAATAATAAATTTTAATGAATTAAACTTATATCGAAACACTTTTATTTTATCTTATAACAATCCTATACCATTCTATAATAATATTTATAAAAATATCTTAAAAAAATTCTAGATACACCCAAAAATAAATGATCATGCTACATCCAAAAAGTGATTACAAAACAGATATTTTATATTGTATTAAAATGGGACTTATAGTTTAACTTTGTAAATTCTTGAAAATAGCTCCAGTTATAGTACCGATCCTTTGAATAGTGCATGAACGATTATCATTTTCAAAATGTATAACTGGAGGTTTACTATTTGGTTCAATTTTTAAGGCTTCTTCTGCAATTGCACCAATAATGCCAGCACTGTTTGTTGTAGTTTCTCCTTTCACTGCAAAAGTAAAAAGTTAATAAGTTGTATTTAGAGGTACGGAATTTTCGTTTTTACAAAATATATGCGCATTTCGGTAAAATTTTGAACATAAATGCAAAATATGGAGTTTTTGTTTATTTCTGCGAAATATCTGCAGGTGCTCAACTCACCGCTAAATAAGTAGGTAGTTACGAAGGTATGGAAAGAATTTACGGAAAGTTTTCTATTGTCATTTTTAAAAGGATTGTTGTTGTAACACGTGTTAAAACAGAAGGATCTTTCATTATTCATCATTAAATAGATAAAGATAAGATAAGGAATTAATATTTTTCAATGTGGATTCTTTGAAAAGTAAAAATAAGCCGACTGTTGTTATCTGCATTTCAGTCTTTTGTATTAGTAACAATCTAAGTAGGGATAAAAGTCGGCTAATTATTATTTTCTAAACATATAAATTGGCCAACCAGGACAATCAGTGCTCATTCCGTCAGTTTTTACTGAATGAGAACATAGTCTATGAAAAAAGTGTTCATAGTAAAATAAAGGGTTGAGTTTACCGAAAGTACAAGCTGATTATAGCCGCAAATGACAAACATGGAACAAACAATTTCGGTATAGCAAAGTTAGCATATTTTTATAATGTAGATTTTGTATGCTTCAAATATAAAAAGATAAAGCTTTAGAAAAGTACATTTTGTTTATATTATGTTATACATTCTGCAATTTTAAATTTATATAAAACAAGAATGAGTAAATATTTGTTTCTTTGGAGATTAATTGCAGTAAATTATTAGAAATTATTTTGGAAATTACCCTTTGATAGATCAGTGGATAGATTTGACAATCATCAAATCAGCCATTGCCAGATTGCAATGTTTGCAATTAATCTCGAAAAATATAAATATTTACTTGTTATTGCTTCATATAAATTAAACATTGCAGAATTCATAAAATAGTATAATCAAAATGTACTTTTTAAAAGCTTTCTCTCTTTATATTTGAAGCATATAATATATGCATTATAAAAACGTTCCAACACTGAAAAACCCAAATATTTTTGACATTTGCGGCTGTATTCAGTTTGTACTTTCGGTAAACTCAACCAAATAAAGTTACTTAAAGTATCCCCTAAAATGGGACGCCTTAAAACAATTTTGTGCGATTGAGTCAAAGAATTTGCAACAGATGGCCTATATCTGTGTGACACAAATATTGTGATGTGTAAATATTGTAATACTCATTTGGAAGGTGATAAAAAGAACACACTGCAGAAACATGTGAAGTCGACTAAACACATTAACAAGAATCTATAGAATCTACTTGAGGAACTAAGCCACAAATGTCAATTGCTAGTGGTTTTGAGAGACAGAAACGAGCAAAAGAAGAAAATGATACTTGTGTGAAGGATACAGTTAGTATGTGTCTGAGAGCCAACATTCCACTTCATAAATTGGATCATCCAGGTGTGAGTGAATATATTGCTAAATATGTGCCAGGGTCGGGTGCTCTTCCATGTGCGGACACTTTAAGGAGAAAGCTAGTGTCAAGGTGTGGGCTGTCTGCAAAAGCCAATACAAAGCAACAGCTGAAAGACAAGCCCATTGTAATAGTAGTAGACGAAACCTCGGATGGACAAGGAAGATGTGTTTTTGCTATTCTCTCCAGAACTATAGATTCTGTACTACTCAAGAATGTTTTTTAGCAAGTGTTAACTTTCTTGATACTGCCAATGCATCAACGTGTTCACAGGAAATTATAGATACATTAAAAGACTTTGGAATTAGATTGTTCACAAGTAAAGGCCTGGTAACAGATTTAGCAAGATACAGGTCTGCTTGCTTTAACCTATTAAAAAGTCTAATAGCGCCACATATCTTAAATTACCAGTGTTGCGATCATAAGGTGATGTTTTTGTAGGAGAGTTCAAGGAGTTAAAACATATTTACAGCAAAAGTCAAGTCAGCCTTTTGTCTTTCAAGAAAAATGAAGAACTCTTACTTGAATTATTTGAGATGATATATGATATAAGAAAACATGCCCAATCTCCCAGCAAAACTTTATGCAGCACCAGTTGTCACTAGATGGAATTCTTGGTTCTCAGCAGTGTCATATCTAAGCGAATATCTTAATCACATACTCAATTTTTTTTGTTTTGTGGGAGAATGAAAATTCCAGTATTAAATTTCTCAAAGACAATTACGCCAATGAAACTTTGAGACGTAAACTAGAAATTCAAATGACCTTCACCACCGAGTTCTGTCCAAAATTAATGAAATTAATAGATGATTTGGAACGACCCAGTTATCCGTTCGCCCATCTTTTATGGAACAAATTAGAGGACTTAAAATCGTCACTTGAACACCATCGCCAAGGTTATTTTGATGTAAAAACATCTCAATTGCTCACTGAAAATGAATATATTGGCACTACACTGAAGAAAATGTTTATGAAAGCAAATGACAAAGCCTTTAATAAACTAACTCTCCATATGACTTTTAAAAGACACAAACGAGGCTTTCTTACACATTAGGCAGTTATTGAACCCATATATAGCTGCAAGTTTTACTGTGAACCCAAATGTACTCTCAGAAAGCTTTTCTAAAATTCCTTTTTTTAGAACAATGACACAATTGGAGAACACAGATAGATATACTCACTTTCATAGATTAATCCTTCAATTGATAAGAAGGGACGAAGATCCCAATGTTAAGGATATTTTGCTTGCTACACAATGCAGTTTTCCGTCATTTGCTAAATCAGCATTACAGAGCATCTAGAGTCCAATGAACTGCGTAGATGCAGAACGATTCTTCAGCAAATATAAGATTGTAGTGATAGATCAAAGAACAGCTCTTAAATAGTCGAATGTCGAAATTACAACGATACTCTTTTAATTAATGTTTTTTGTTGTTTTACTCGTAGTTAAAAATAAATGCGGAATTCATGTTTTTTATTTGCGAAAATTCCATACCTCATATTATGTATCCAAGTGCATGGACAAGACTCAAAAGCATTTATAGAAATGAAAGAGTTGTTTGACAGAATTATGTTCTCATATATTGTTTTGTTTGTAAACAAATGTTTGTGCTGTCAAGAAAAAAAGACCAAAACTGAAGATTTGAAAAAAATTTATACAACATAATTAAATATATAACACATCAGTTAAATTAAATGTCAACTTGTGAATCAGCTATAAGTATTAACAAAAAATTCATTTATTTATAATCAAATGTTTACTGAGGATGTTGGATAAATTTTTTGTCTCTTAAATAGACAACACCTAATTGTAGAGTGCTGATGAATTGACAATTGCGTTTATATTTATCTTACTTGTTGTTAGGAGTCATTTTGATTCTTCTTCTTAGTATGCCTCATCCTTTAAGGACATTGGCGATCATCACAGCCCATTTTACTCTGTCTGCAGCAGTTCTCAAGAGTTCTATTGTTGTTTTTCCACTCCATTGCTTTAAAGTTTTCAGCTAGGATGTTCGTTATCTTCCAGGTCCTCTATTTCCTTTTTACTTTCCCTTATATAACCAATATTATCAAATGAACTCATATTTTTAATTCTTAATATGTGACCAAAGTAGCTTATTTTTCTTTCCTTTATAGTGTTAAGTATTTCTATTTCTTTCTTCATCTTTATCAATGTTTCTGTGTTTGTTATGTGTTGTGTCCATGATATTTTCCACATTCTTTGTCACTTTGATATATAATAATTCAAATGACCCTATAGTTATTTCATTAAAATTTTTTTAACAGAGTATTGTTTTAGATAATGATTAATAACTGGTTTAAAACATGATTCAGAAAATATCTGCAAGAGTTTAAAAAATCATGACCAGTTCAGAATTAATACATAACAGTTTTTGACAGCAAAATATTGGACTGAATCCACATCCGTCGCAAAAATACATCAATTCAGGAGCTTGGAGGAGTAAGGGCGAATTCGAAAAATGATCTTTTTAAAAACAGTCTCATTTTGTTCACATACTATTAAAGAATACGTCTGTATCATTATAACACCATGTTTCGCCCTTCATACTCCCAAAATTCTGTAGGAAATAAGATAGCAACCAATTCATGTCAGAAACTGAACTGCATAATTGTCTAGAAGAGGAAAGGCGAACCCACAAGCTATCGGACTTTCTTGCGTTGTATGCAGATGTAAGTATGCGTTTTTCTGTACGATCGTATGTTTGTAGTTTTTATTATTTGTATTTTAAGGAAAAACCGTGGTTACATTAGCGTTAAAGTTGTATTGTTTTTTTTCCGATTTATTTTCAAAATGAACGCCGAGAACACGACAACAATGAGTTGTTAACGTGTGTAAAACCAAACGAAGCTGTGGTGACGCGTACATTTCGAGAAATACAAACAGACCTGTACCTGCACGCACAATCGGACCCACATGTAAGTGTCGTAAAACGTGTTTTGAAAAGTTGGGCTTGAACAATATCAATATGATTTTCAATATTTGGCAACTGGGCAACTATGATAATCAAAACCAATACCTTTCAAAAGTGTTAAGTTTCAGTGATTGTAAAAGTCTTTAATTACTGACAGAGCTAATAGAAAGCTTCGGACCATAGAAATACAGTGTTTCAATAAATGGAGAAAGAAAACGTGTTTGTCATCAGGCTTTTATTAGCATCCATGACATAAGTGAAAAAAGAGTTCGCGTTGTTTTAGACAAGCAGACCACCACAGGAACTGTGCTGAGTGACAACAGAGGGAAGCTATGCCCAGGAAATAAAATGGTTGGATATAGAAAGCAGTTGGTCAGAGATCACATTGATTCTCTTGTTACTGTTTCCAGTCACTATAACAGAGCCAAAAGTTCTTTTCGAAAATATATGCCACCAGGTTCACCAATTACTGGGGCATATGGAGCTTATATGGAATGGCTAAGAAACACATATGCTGAAGAACAGCCTGTGATAGAGTCTTACTACCGAAATATTTTTGTCAATGAATTCAATATAGGTGTTCAGCCTCCTTCTGTTGATGCATGTAATATCTGCTCTAAGACTAAAATTGAAATTAATGGGTTAAAGACTAGTAGCCCGAGTTCTCCCTGAATAACTGAATTGGATATGAAACTGAAGGGTCATTTAGCAAAGCAGAAAGCTGCTCAGTTTATGATGAAAAGCTATGAAAGCAACCAGGATACAAATATTGAAGTTATATGTGTTGAGATTTACAACAAGCATTACCCACACCTAAACTTACTTGCAACATATAATATTACAAAACAAAAATGTGGACTTATAATTTTAGGAATCCATAACATTAAAACTGGAACAGCCGTGATGTATGTATGGGATGAAACCATCACTAAATGCGGATCGTGTGAAACAGCCATTTTTCTCAGTCACTACTTGGAGAACTTTGTTAACAAGCAAGTGCGACAAGTTATAATTTTTAGTGATAACTGTGCTGGGCAAAATAAGAACATAAACATTGTTTTGTCTAACCTCTGCCACATTCATGAAAACCACTTTGGTCTTTTTAAGCACATTTTTTTAATGTCTGGGCATTCGATAATGGATTTTGATCAAGATTTTGGTTCAATTAAATTAAAGATCAAGGACTGTAAAGTATTTTCAAAACAACACTATATCCATTTCATTGAACACACGAAAAAAAAAATCCAAGTTGTTATTGGGAGCTAACTTCAAGGATGATAGAATATTCGAATATTCAACAGATTTTAAGATGGGCTTTAAAATTCAAATAGCATACAACACATATATTTCTACAAATGTCATACTCCAAAAGGGACGAAAGAGACTTCACAATGTAACAAATTTTAACTTAGATAGTATAGAACTTCCTCTCAAATACCAGGGTGCCATCAAGCTTACAGAAGAAAAGAAAAAAGACTTTTAAGTCTTTACTTATTAGTGGAGGAATTGATATAACTGAAGTGGAAGAAACTGTACATGAACATAAAATTGAGTTTAATTGAATTTGTGAATTTTGCAACTTATTCCACTACCACTAGCTCTCACAGAAACCTGTTAAAAAAACTAGGTATGTTTATATTTGTAGAATAAAAAATATTAAACATCTTTTCATTTTATTTCATAAAATCCTTGCAAATCTTGCAAAATCCTCTTTTATTTTCTATTAATAAATTAAAACTTGTTAGGTGCTACTAGAGTATGCATTCCACCTCAATAGTTTAACCTATCTGAAGGATTTGGATTTTGAAAACCCCAGGAAGGGATTACAGTGTAATTTGCATAATCATAAAGTTTATAAAATGTTTATTAGTACTTAGCAATAAATATTTTGCCTACAAAGGATGCCTTTCATTATTGTGTTCAAACCCTTCTCAGAAAAGATTATGGTGATATGCTGATGTATCAATAGGTAGAATGTGTTTACACTCACAAATACCATCTTTACAGAGTGAATAAAATCATCAATCAGGTAAAACGAATTATTATTTCAATTTTACAGGTTAATACTTTGTCATATCAATTTACTATTTTGGTTGAGAATAATCCGTAAAATTAAAATAATAATTCTTAATTTTTACATGTTAAGCATTTTATTCACTGTAAAGATACACTGCATAATATAGTAGAAATGTGACAGTAGACCGCATATCTACTATTGTAGCACCACTTATTCGCCCTTACTATTTTAATATGTTCATAAACTTTAACTCAGTTTTCCTGAAACCTGGTTTTTGCAGTTCACCCTTACTCTTCCAGGATCCTGAATTTACAAACAAGTAGGTTTCTTGCCATGTTTATCACATTAATTGCCATGTTTATTAATCAGTTTTGACCAATAACTTTTAATTGGTTTGTTGCTTTCATAATAATAATTTTAATTATCTATCAGGCAATTTTGATTGAGTTACTTTCAAATTGTTTCTTAGTTTGCATTAATCTAATCTTACATTTTCATGTGTTATCAATTTTTTTTATTTATATTTCTTACATATTTATATTAGACATGTTAACTTCATTATTCTGGCTTTACAACACTGCGAGGGTCCTAGTCTATTCAAGAATTTCTCTCCAGTAGCTTGCTATCTATAGCGTTCTTCCACCAAGCATATATTCCTATATTTCTCATGTCTTCATCTATGGTATCAAGGAACTTTGTTCTGGGTTTTCTCTTCTTCTCTAACCAATGGGTCTATCAAAGTATATTAGCTATCTAGTGTATTCTATTCTCATGTTCTTTGAAAATCATTTCTTCTGATATTCCTTATGAATTGAAATGTAACTTATTCTTAAAATGTAGTTATTTTTAATCAAATTTATAATTCTAGCAATTGCCATTTTTCTCTTCATTATTATATCTATGTACTGATTAGTTCAATTTATGTAAGTGATGATTTGTCCTTCCCCAATGAATTTTTAGGTTTTTTATATTACATTTTAATGGGTGCTTTTTGAGTGAGATCAATTAGTGCGTATTTAAAAAGAAACTAGTGCGTATTTAAAGCTGATTAATGGCATGAATGTTTTTCAAATATACAAAAACTTACTTCCCAAACAGAGTCCATGTCTATCTGCAAAAACACATCCGTATACTCCTGGCGTGTTGATACTAAAAAAATTAAAACATTAATTCATAGCTTAAAATATTGTAATCTACTTACAGTTGGTCTAATGAATGCTCTAAATTTTTTTCCATTTTAGTTTTGATTTATCAACAATTCAAGGTACAAAAATTAAAAATATACAAAACCCAATAACAGTTCTCAGCTGGTATTCCGACAGCTGACAGATCATTCAAAATTCTACTTCCGAAGCTATCTTACAATATTTTTACTTATTCATCCACTTAGTTTTTTACACGGAACATGTATAAAAATATAGGAGAAAACATGTGAATAGAGCACAGAATAGGAAACAATTGTTTCTTATTTTGTGTTATTAATACTTTCGCTGCGTGCTGCGCATCGAGGAAAAAGACAAAAGAGGGAATCATGGTTATGAAAAGGAGACCAAAAAAGAGGCCTCTGATGGTGGGCATATCCGGAAATGCGAAAGCGCCAAATTTAAATTTTCGACACTTATTAACAGTAGCTAGAAAATAGTTTTCAGAATGGGTCTTAAGGTCGATTCAGACACATCAGTCCCGTCATAGTCTCGGCGCCGAACCGGTAATGTTTGGTCACAGAACTATCAACTATCAGACAGCTGGGAAACTGTTTGTCAACTAATGTGTGTGAATGCCGGCAACATATTTGTATTAAAGAATATTTTGTATGACGGATTGTTCGGTTCGGCGCAATCACTGTGACGAGACGTGACTGATGTGTCTGAATCGACCTTTAGACGAGAAACTTTAAATAAATATTAATGATAACAGTCTAAAATGTGACACAATTGTTAAAAAACTTCAATATTAAGGTCGATTCACACACATCAGTCACGTCACAGTCACGGTACCGAACCGGTCCTGTTTGGTCACAGAACTATCAACTATCTGACAGCTGGCAAACTGTTCGTCAACTGATGAGTGTGAATGCCGGCGCCATATTTGTATTAAAGAATATTTTGTATGACGGATTGTTCGATTCGGCGCAATCACTGTGACGAGATGGTGACGAGACGTGACTGATGTGTCTGAATCGATCTTAAATAAGATTTCATGTGACAGTTGGGACAAATAATAACATAACCCATCTAAATTTGATTTCTTAAACAAGGAAATACTCTCTTTCCTTGTTTAATGTGGCCTCTCAAGATGGCACTTCCTGTCTAACAATATTTTTGCCCCCACTACCTTTACATTCCCCCTTTTGTCTTTTTGCTCGATGGTTCTGCGTCACCACCATCGAGTAAGTCCACCAGGCGAAGTCCCATGCATCCGATTTCCGAGATCCGACATACGAAAATCGTATGGTTTCGTAGTTGCTATTTGGAAGCTAGTCACATGGATGCGATTGTCGGATACGAAAATCCGTATAAACTGTTAACTATCAATTTTTTGTTTATTGTTTGGATGTTTGGTGGTTTGGCTGGTAATTGCTGTTTTACCACTTTTGCAGTAAAACAGCAGAAGGGATTATTTCCGCATGGCATATAATCCCTTCTCCTACGTTCAATTACTCAGTTTATTATGGATAACTTAGAAGAAACTATGCAACTTAATAAATGTGTAATTACGTATTCTAAGGTAATTGCAAATATTTATCAACATCATTTAGCTTCATTTCCTGCAAGAGTGCAATAGATTATTAAAAGCCCCTTGTGACTTTTTTTACTGAAATATTTAACTAACCCAATATTTTCTTTGTCGAATTGTACGTCTTGTTTTTTTTTGCGAATTAAAAGAAGCAGACATAATAATAGCCTTTGATTAACTTTACGAACATAGCTTCTTCGAATAAAATTCATGTTTCAATAAATTAAATGTACAGATGTTAAACTATTGGAATACAATTAGATGACAAAACATCCGTTTTGTCGGAAAAAGTTAAAATAATTTTATCTTTATCCGATGTCGGAAGCGTAGTTAAAAATTTCGGATGAAATTTGGCGCGAAAATATTCTGAATCGATTCTGATCAATGAGAATACTTTCGGATCATCGTATCGTCGGAAATCGGATGCATGGGACTCCGCCTTAAAAAGACAAAAGAGGGAATCTAAAGGTCAATTCACACACATCAGTCACGTCACAGTCACGGTACCGAACCGGTCCTGTTTGGTCACAGAACTATCAACTATCTGACAGCTGGCAAACTGTTCGTCAACTGATGAGTGTGAATGCCGGCGCCATATTTGTATTAAAGAATATTTTGTATGACGGATTGTTCGATTCGGCGCAATCACTGTGACGAGATGGTGACGAGACGTGACTGATGTGTCTGAATCGACCTTAATCCTTACATGAAAAGGAGACCAAAAAAGTGGCCTCTGATGGCGGACATATCCGGAAATGCGAATGCGCCAAATTTAAATTTTCAGACACTTATTAACAGTAGCTGTATAATATTTTTCAGAATGTGTCTTAAGGCAGCTTTACATCTAGGCTATGCAAGTCTCATGCTATGCAAGTCCGTCTTGCATGGCACATCTCTTGCCTAGCTTGACCTTTTTACATCAGAGATATTTCTGTGCAATTTTAGATCCCACTTTCATTGTTGCCAACAGAGAAAATATTTATCAATTTGAGGTTATTTTATTTTAAATAAAAAATATAGTTAAGTACTAAAATAAATATTATAATAAATAAATATACACTATTTATGGTTATTAAAAGGGTGAAGGATGTCAACCAAAGAAAAGAAAACATTGTTATTGTTGAATATTGCTGTTGTAGCAACAATCATCCATAGTCAACGACTCACCCAGTCGTTTTTACATTAACTTTAGACATAGTATATCTATTTATCACCACTTAATAAACTTAATTTAAATCAAAACACAACAATACACATGTGGGTTAAGGGACGCTAAAGATAGAGATAAGGTTATGTTTTATTCTGTAATCTATTACAAATTGTTATGTTGGCAACATGAATTTTAACGATAAATTGCAAGAAAATTGCATGAAAAATAGAACATGTTCTAATTTTTCGTCTAGCACAGGAATTGCATGGAAATAGCCCGTGGGCATGCGCAGTTCCATGATCTGTCTTGCATGGCTCTTGCCTAGCATGAAAATAGCATAATGTAAAACTGTCTTTAGACGAGAAAGTTTTAATTAATTATTAACGATAATAGTCTAAAATGCGACACAATTGTTAAAAAACTTCAATATAAATAAGATTTCATGTGACATTTGGGACAAACGGACAAACAATAACATAACCAACTAAATTTGATGTCAAACAAGGAGAGAGACTCTCTTTCCTTGTTTAATGTGGCCTCTAAAGATCGCACTTTCTGTCTAACAATATTTTTGCCCCCACTACCTTTACATTCCCTCTTTTGTCTTTTTGCTCAATGGTCACCACTTAAAAAAGACTGATAACTTTAGCATATAAAGCAGGGTTTTGTTTTAGCACAGAATAATAAACAATCAGAATGCCCACTCCGCTTGAAAAAATAAGTACGTGCATCTCGTTCGCTCAGACGAAATGGCCACATTTTAAACGAAACCAGTGCTGTTCAGTGACATTTTATCTGGTATGCATAGACAAATTAACCCGGTTTAATTTATTTACGACAACTACAGACATAATATCCACTATTTTATTCGTACTTTTAGTTCTAAGAATAGATTAAATTATTTCAAATGTACTAAATTATTAATCTCCTAAAACTTAAATTACAGTTTTGTCGTAGCTTGTCACAAATTTCTCAATTTGAGTCTGTTTTCGTCTAAAACATGGCGTTTGCGTGCTGACAACCTTCAAAGGCGGCACCTGAGAGTGGGCATTCTGACCGTTATTTATTCTGTGCCAATAAAAGTGTGACACTATTATCTTCCACCAATTCGCCCCCCTTCTACTTGGTGATTTGTATATAAATTGAACCGCTTCAAAAATCTCTGCCTAGAATACAGAGATATATTCTCTTAATGGAATAGAAATGTTTAAATTTTCACTGCTACTGAATATTCCTGCACCCAACCCTTCAGAGTCATGCATAAATAGATACAAGGTATATGTATAGACAATCTTCTAGATATAATCCCACAGTCTGAGTTGAGTCGTTTTCTCTGTCCCATTCACTAGGGAAGTTACTTGATTCCCTGAGGTATTCCCGATTTAATTTATGATGTTCCTATGCCTTATCTAAAAGGTTGTTCAGGTTTTCTCGTAAACAAGATTTAGATGTGTACCATTTAATCTTAAATGACCCAATTCCTCTAAATTCGCCTTGCTAGTAAATTTCATGAGTTTGGCTCTGACTATTATCTGCTATTAAATATGCCGCGGCTAAGATATCCAGGTCATCCGCATAGCTCAGGACATTATCCCTGTCGTTGCTGAGTCTAGCTGTCAGTGGACCTGTGACCAGATTCCACACAAGAAGAGATAAAATTCCTTCTGTGGACAGCTTCTGGGTAGGTGTTTTTAGACGTATGGCCATTGTGATTACTTCATAAGAGGTGTTGTAGACTGCTCCCTCTACATCGAGAAATGCACCCAGCATTACCTGCTGATTTTCCAGAGCGTATTCCACTCTCTCTACGAGATGATGAAATGTCTTCGTCGATCGAAAAGAATAGTAATTTTCCAGCTTATCCGATCTTTTTTCTTTTTAATATCCTGTCTTCCATGGTAAGATCTAACCAGTTCCGTCCTTTAGTTTTGTACGATTTTTCTCTAGTAGACGACCCAGAAGCTATTTTTTTCAGCAGTTTCCTGAAAGTCTGTTGCTGTCTGTTCATTTCCGATATTTTTTTATTTGCGGACTCAGAAGGGTCACTCATTTCTCAGCTTTCTTCTGGGATCTTCTCTGTTTTATTTGTCTCGTTATGTATGTTTGGGATGAAATTCTGTCAGGGACGGCAGTCCGCTCTTACAGTGTCAAAACTATAATTTCTTAGAGTTCGCCAGCTCTCTAGGACATTGCTAAAGGAACACGTTTTACCCTATGTACTGTTGTTTACACCATGCATCTGTTAAGTTTAGTGGTGATCTCACGATGGCACTCGAGATTAGGGAGCGCAGTAGTCGCAATGTCGTATGAGGAGCCAATTCTAGCGTGAGTGTCTGTAATTTGCCCACTAAGCATGGTGTCAATGTTCGTGCGTGTGGGTTAAATTCAAGCAACAAGCAACAAGCAAATCTACAGTTGATGATGTAGTTC